CATCAGGCTGGATGATAGTTATCGGTTCCTCAAGCTGGATAACGGACACCGGGGCATCAGGCTGGATAACGGACACCGGGGCATCAGGCTGGATAACGGACACCGGGGCATCAGGCTGGATAACGGACACCGGGGCATCAGGCTGGATAACGGACACCGGGGCATCAGGCTGGATAACGGACACCGGGGCATCAGGCGGAAAGCGGGCACCGGTCATCAGGCCGGGTAGCGGGCACCGGGTCATCAGGCATCAGCGAACACTGGGTCACCACGTCATGGCAGGCTGAACAGCGGGCACCGGGTCATCTGGCAGGACAGCGGGCACCGGGTCATCTGGCAGGACAGCGGGCACCGGGTCATCTGGCAGGACAGCGGGCACCGGGTCATCTGGCAGGACAGCGGGCACCGGGTCATCTGGCAGGACAGCGGGCACCGGGTCATCTGGCAGGACAGCGGGCACCGGGTCATCTGGCAGGACAGCGGGCACCGGGTCATCTGGCCGGACAGCTGGCGTCAAGGCATCTGGTAGGACAGCGGGCATCAAGACATCAGGCTGGACAGCAGGCGTCAGGTCATCAGGCGGGATAACAGAAGGCGGGTTCTCAGACAGCAGGCTGACCGGTTTGGATACTGGCAGGATGGTACTGGTTGGAAAGAATTTTCACTTCTTCTTGGGTTTAGTTACTGAAGCACTGCAAGTAAATGCAGGGCTGTAAAAGGAGGGAGCAGCTAAAGACAGAGAAGAGCTGGAGGATGGAACAGAGAAGGGAGCAGTTTCTAAAGAGGACTTCTTTATAGAGTTAAAGGCAGGGTAGGTGCAACGAGTGGGAACAGGGTACTGACATGTGGTTGATAGCAGGGTATACTGGGCTGTAACTGGGGGTGCTGTGGGAAATGGAGGAAGAGAGCTTTGAACAGAGGAATGATTAGAAGCAGGACTGGGTTGTTGCAAGCTGACTGAGGCTGGGTGTAGCAAATCTGACCATGTCTGTAGTACTATTTGAACAAAGCTCAGCTTAAACATAGCCTGTCTGACCAAAGACTGCACTGCGTTTATACAATCCACTAGCATATGTTGTGAACATGCTGAATAATGCTCCAAGAAGCAATCCGGATCATCCTCCAACATACCAGTGATTCTACTTGGTCCGTACTGAATGGCGGCGAAAAGTCATCTCTGCTTTCAGGGGTACTGGACAAAGCCAATTCAGCACAAACCTGGATCAATGGCTGCACCTCAGAAAACAACCTGCCCTGATCTACTAGGGAATGAGCAACCCACATGCACTCTAGCAGCTGATCCCTGGCATACTCCTTCAGAATCTGATAGCCGTATTCTCTGTCTTCTAAGACTAGCAGAGACAAGTACTCAACCTCCTTAGGATGCATCCTTCACAAATAACAAGCCAAGATGGCTTCCCTGTGCAGCCACTTCTGGTCAGGACTGGCCTTGGTGTTATGTCAAGGATCCAGGTATGACCAGAGATGTGTGGACTGACACAGGGAACAGCAGGCTTCAGAAATGATGAAATAATAAAATTTATTAAGAGCTGCACAAATATACAAACGCAGTGCAAACAAAAAGCAAACCTTAAACTAATATTAATATGTACAAGTGTAGTCAGGGCTGGAGAGGTGGAGTGGTCAGGCAGGCCGGGTCAGGAACAATCGGGCAGAGTAGGTACAACAGGAGCAGGCAGGAGAATGGTCAGGAATAGCCGGGGTCGGTGCAGGCGGAGTTGTAGCAGAGTCAAGCAGGCAGAAGACAGGATCAGAACAACAGGGCACATGGGAAAACACCAAGGCACTGATTGCAGGCCTGTTACTGCTTAAATACACCTCCTGCAATCAGCCTCAGGTGATGGCTTGATTGCAGGAGTGAGATCCTGGCTGCTGAAAGCACCTGCTGGCAAGCACCGGTACTGCAGTCCACATAGCAGGTGAGCCCCAGCACCACCAGCAGTGAGTCCTTTCCTGACCGCAATCTTTCAAATGGGAGCATGTCCCCCGCCATCCTCAGGGGCTGAGGAAGTGTTGAGACAAAATGTCCCATTTGATAATATCTCAATTTATCTAAAACAAAAATTCCTTTTATTCTTCAATTCTTGAAAAGTACATAACTGCCCTTTATCTAATATATCTCCCAAGCGGGCATTTCTATTTTTAAACCATTTTCCCGAAACGTTTCCCTTCCCCGGAGGAAAAAATTCTGCGTCCACCAACGGTATTAATAATGAATTATATGTCCAACACATAGACTTGTGTAAACCATCCCAAACTCTCAATACATCCCGTGTCAGTGTACTACTATTTTCATCTAATGCCCGAAATTCTTGTAGGATCCATATGATCATCACCAACTGTGTTTTACTTAATATGACTTCAATTTTAACCCAACTTTTTTCTTGTGAATTATATGTCCAATCCACCACCCATGATAATAACACCGACAAATAATATTTCCTCATATTTGGCAAGTTTAGTCTTTTTCTTTATGATAACATAAGGTTTCATACTTAATTCTTGGTTTCTTATTAGCCCAAATAAACCTCAATATCATTTTTTTTATTATCTTAAAGGATCCTGGTAGTTTTATAGGGAACATCTGAAACTTATATAGGATTTTTGAGATTATTACCATCTTAACCAGATTTATCTGCCCAATCCATGAAACCCACCCTCCTGAGAGTCTTCTCAATTCCTCTTTAATTTCATTTATTAGTGGGTTATAATTAGCCTGATATAGGTCCTTTACTGCAGGGGTTAGTTTTATTCCTAAATACTTTAAATCTCTATCTCTCCATATAAAAGGGAACTGTTCTTGTAAGTTCTTCCTTTCTACCTTCGACACATTTATGTTCAAAGTCTCAGATTTTGTAAGATTTATTTTTAGATTAGATAGTTCTCTGTACTGTTTCAACAGTGTCATTAGGTTAGGCAACGCCACTCTAGGGTTCACTATATAAAACAGCATGTCGTCTGCATATGCAGCTACCTTATGTTCTATTATCTTAATTCCTGTAATATCAATGTTCTTTCTTACCACCGCCAAAAGAGGTTCCAGAGATAGCACAAACAATAACGGGGATAATGGGCATCCTTGTCTAGTTCCTTTATGCATTCCAAAAGTCCCAGACAAGGTCCCATTAACCTTCACTGCTGCTGAAGGACAATTATAAAACCCTTTATCCACTTCAACATTTTTTCCCCTGTTCCCAGGCCTCCAATGTATTTAACATAAACCCCTAATCTACCCTATCGAAGGCTTTTTCTGCATCTCTTGACAAGATTATTGTTGACTGGCTACCTCTCTTTGCTTTCTGTAGAAAAAGTAATGTCCTCAAGCTGTTGTCTCTTCCTTCCCTTCCTGGAACAAAACCTACCTGATCTAAATGTACCCATTCCGTTATGAACTCCTTCAACCTGGTAGCCAATACTTGCGCAAACAATTTGGTATCTGAATTTAATAATGATATGGGTCTATAGCTATTACATTGTGAGCTATCTTTCCCTTCTTTGAGAATGATTGTTATATGTGTGTGTAATGATTCTCCTCTCATTTCCGTTCCTTCTCCTAACGCATTCATATATCTGCAAAGTTTAGGGACCAACAACGCTTTAAACTTTTTATAATATCTGCTGTGTAACCATCAGGGCCTGGGCTCTTTCCCCCCGCCATATTCTTCAGTGCTGGTATAATTTCATTCTGGGAGATAGCTCATTCTAAAGATATATATTAAATTGACTTTTGCAATTTTTGGTAAATCTGCTGCAGTTAGAAATTCTTGCCTTCTCTTCCTCCTTTCTTCTGTGTTTTTTAAATGTATGGGGTTCACCTCATACAACTTAGTATAGAACTTTTGAAACACATCGGCTATACCTGTGGGGGAATAGACCAGCTCCTCGTTTTCATCTTTAATTTTTTGATTTCTTTTCCCTCAGTCTCTTCATCATAAATTTTCCAGGAATATTCCCCCACTGGTATCTTTCCTTTGTAACTCTCTTAAAAACTTTCCTCGTCTCCTATTCAATTAGATCCTTCATTCCTTCTCTTTTAAAAATAATATTCCCATATAAATCTAAGTTCTGCTTTAATTTATGTGCCAGTTCTAATTTATTCAATTCTTCAATTACCCCTTTTAATTTCCTCTCTCGAGCTCTCTTTTTTTTTTTTTTTTTGTTCCTGCAGCTATCAAAATTCCTCTTATATAGACCTTATGAGCCTCCCAAATAGTTGCCTCTGTTAATTCCTTGGTTTCATTCATAAGAAAAAATTGTTCTAACTCTTCCCTAAGCCTCTTATCTATCTCAGGGTCCTGCAAAAGTGCCTCATTTAATCTCCACGTGGCACTCTTATTTCCCTCTCCTCCCAACTGAAGTCTCACCGTGACAGGAGCATGATCAGATATGGTCATAACCTCTATGTTAGATTTCACCAAACATTCCAAATGCCTGTGCTCCATTAGCACATAATCCAATCGTTAATATGATCTGTGCGCAGAAGAGAAGGTATAGTCCCTATCTCTGGGATGTTTTACTCTCCAAGTATGTATTAATTGGTTTTGATATTCTATTTTTAGCTCGATTTTTTTTCCCTCCCTCCTTCTGCACACCCGAAGATGTATCCATCCATGGATCCAAACAACAATTAACCTCCCTAGCGGTATGATTATGTCAATATTTCTGTGCTCAAAGCGGTACATTTTTTTGCATGGAAATATGTTGTTTTTTATTGTGGGTCTGTAATTTTTAGGAATAACTCACTGAAATTTGTCCAAACAAGAGTATAGTAAACATCCCGGGTATGATAAACTTTGAAACATGAAATCATAAATTATAATAAATAATCATAAAAATAATAATATAATCATTTTAATTCAATAATATAATCAAACCAAAGACACTGAAATTTTAAATATTGCGCCAAGTTCACACATCACTGAGCTTAGTTTCAAAATCATTTTCAGTGTCTGATGACGAATTTCCCCACAAATCATCACTCAATTCTGCAAGTGGTTCTAATTTACTATAACTGTTCTCTAGCTGGTCTAAAACCACTTTTGACCTAAAGGGACACTTTTTGGACTCCATGGACTTTTCTCAGTTTCCAGGCAGAAAAAACGGTAAAAATGCAGGCAGGGCACAGGACAAAGCACTAGGAACAAAATGTATGTGAAATGCTTTGACACAGTAATGTTTTACTATGTAATTTTATTGTATTGAGTGAATGTCACTTTTAATATTTTTGAATTTCCCGCCGGTTCCGTCCCCCGTACGTCCCGACGCTCACAGGGAACGGAACCCGGAAGAAGGATGCCAGCATCGGCCGGAGGACATGGCTGGGGACGCTGCAGGGGGGACATCACGGGAGCGCAGGACAAGGTAAGTGAAACAGGGATCCCGGAGCAACGTTGCAGGGTAATCCCGAGTGTAGCTCGGGGTTACTGCTTTTGGTACTGAAAGTTTACCCTGAGCTACACTCGGGAATACCGCCAGGGAAGTTAAAGATGGCGAGACCTGTTCTGAGTGGAACATGTCCTGTTAAATCGCTGTATGGTCTTGGACACCGTGCTGCAGCTCAGTTTCAGGGTCTTGGCAGTCTTTTTTTAGCCTAGGACATCTTTATGTAGAGCAACAATTCTTTTTTTCAGATCCTCAGAGAGTTATTTGCCATAAGGTGCCATGTTGAACTTCCAGTGACCAGTATGAGAGAGTGAGAGCGATAACACCAAATTTAACTCACCTTCTCCCCATTCACACCTGAGACCTTGTGACACTGAGTCACATGTCACCGGGGAGGGAAAATGGATAATTGGGCCCAAATTGGACATTTTCACTTAGGGGTTTACTCACTTTTGTTGCCAGCGGTTTAGACATTATTGGCTGTGTGTTGAGTTATTTTGAGGGGACAGCGAATTTACACTGTTATACAAGCTGTACACTCACACTACATTGTTGCAAAGTATCATTTCTTCAGTGTTGTCACATGAAAAGATATATAATATATTTACAAAAAGGTGAGGGGTGTACTCACTTTTGTGAGATACTGTATATAGCCAATTGAAATAGACACCTTTTTGTACCAGTGTTGAGCTTTCCAGAAAACTAGGTATGGATTCATCATTTGGTCGTTTAAGTCCACCCCTCCCATGTTAAGGTTATAGTCGTGGACACAGAAGGGTTTCTCAACGCCAGATAATGTATAATTTGGACTGTTGCATCTACGTGACTGGAAGCCAGGACGAAAACATCCTGTTTATCCTTCCACTTGACTGCGAGCAATTCATCATTGCTCAAGCAGGCTTTCTCCCCCTTTCTAAGTCGAGTATTTACAAGCCGTTGGGGGAAGCCCTGGCGATTTAGGTTGCATGGTGCCACATGAGCCAATTCCAAGATTGTACAAATGTCTAAATAGTGGCACACTTGTATACAAATTGCCCACGTATACCTGGTACCCCTTACAGAACAAACACAACACCAAGTCCCAAACTATCTTGTCACTGCTCCCCATGTAGTCTGGGCAGTCAGGGGGCTCTACTTTGCTGTCTCTTCCCTCATAAACCCTAAATTTGTACGTATACCCTGTCGCCCTCTCACAGAGCTTATATCATTTGACCCCATATCTGGCACACTTGTTGGGGATGTACTGTTTAAATGCAAGGCAGCCAGTAAAGTGAATGAGGGACTCCTCCTTGAGGTGGTTTGAGACCCGAATTTTGTAGAGCCTGTCATGTTCAGGGTCACCCCGAGGATGACAGCGTGTTATCACTAAAATGCATGAAGCGCATTATCGTCTCATATCTATGCCTGGTCATGGCAGCAGAGAACACGAGCATATAATGGATCGGGTCTGTGGACCTATACGACCGCAACTCATTCTTTTTTTGTAATGCCCATGTTGAGGGTTAGGCCGAAAAAAGTTTTAAGTTTGGAAACCATAATGGGTTTCCATGCGAATGGTCTGGCAAGGTTTGAATTTGGGCTTGTGGCAATATTGTTGAGCATATAAATTGCTTTGGCCAACAATCAAATTGTACATATCTTCTGTGAAACTGAGCTCGATAAAACCAAGGGGAGTTAAATTTGCTGTTTCCACCTGAATTCTGGATTGGGCAGTGAATGGGGGAAGTACGGGTGCTGCAGAATCTGTGGGTTGCCAATCAAGGACATCTGAAAGGACACTAGGGGTTCTACGGGGCCTGTGTGCGAATTCTCGGTGGCGAGCACCAGCTTGTACTGCACTTATGGAACTCGCCACGTCACCGAGTGATACTGCAGTGCTGGTATAATAAAAGACCAGGATATACTAGGCTGCTGGTGCTCGGCATTTCACCAAAAGTTAGGTCAGCACTTCTACAGACACTCAGCTGCATATGAGACAAGTCTTGCGATCCTAGCACTTAAGCTTCATGAGGCAAGTTACGCCTGATCTTAACAGGGATCTCTTCTCCATTGTCCAAGATACCTGTCAGGGTGTGCCGCTGCTGTCTCAGGTTCGTATTCTGAAGCTCATTGTGTCAGGGAGTCTTCCCCTTCGCTCTCACCTAACATGCTCAGAATCCTGTAGGCCTCTTCACTAGTGTACCTTTTCGTTGGACATTTTGGACTCTAAATTTACAGGTACCTATTATGACTCACTGGAAAAAGAGTGCCTGGCTGTCAGGGACTGCTTGAACCGCTACAAAAAAAGTGTAATTCTGTGAACACTGTGGTTTTGTTTGCAGTGTATTACAGGTGACAGTGATCAGAAATTATACTGACACTGCACTTCTTGTTAGGGGTGGGGGGGAGCGTTGGGGCTAAATGTTAGTGCTGGCAGTGAATGGGGATGAACCGGCTAACACTGTCTTTTTGAGGACACTAATACTAAGGGGTGACTGGTATAGGTTTCTTTGTGATCACTATATTGATCCATACAAACACTATACTAGTAATGACGGTGATCTGTGACCTATAGTGTGCAGGCAATCTAATGCTAGCTGACCCTAGCTGGGAGGGCCTCTAACTGACCCTGATGCTATCTGATGTTGCTAGTGGCACTAATACAGTGATCAGTGCAAAATACTGTACTAATGGCACTGGCAAGGTGGCAGGGGGCAATCAAAGGGTTAAATGTGGCAATCAAGAGTTTAAAATGTCTCTATCTAACGTGTGTGGGTGCAGTGTGCTGCTTTTACTCTTGTGTGATGTCTTTCTTCTCACCCTGGAACAAAATGGTTCCAGGGAGAGAAGAACCAGCTAGATCCTGTGCCTGTATTTACAAATACAGGCACAGCTCTGCATCTCCATTCGCTTTAGGAGATCGGCAAAGTCCTGGCCAAAATAACTGGCCGAGACCGGCTGACATACACCTCCTACAACGAATGACAGTGGGGGACAGGGGGGGGGGGGGGGGGCACATGCATACCTGCTCTAAAAAACCCTGCAGCTACCGCCCGTCTGCAGTACATGGTGGGTGGGAAGTGGTTAATTTCAGAAACAGGCTGCGCTTAGATGTATGCAAATATATATCAAACAAATAAATAAGTTGTAAATAAAGTCCAGCAAACAAAATGTCCAAAGTGTTTGTGGTGTTCAAATAATCAATTGTGTCCAAAAATATATCACCAAGTGAATCCACAACCAAAATCAGTGAAATAAAACTCACCAGAGCAATATGCTGATTGTGTAATAAACCAGCATATAGCGCATGTTGCTCTGGGAGTGATGATCTGTATGGTAACAGCAACACTTGAGACTTTAAAGGATGAACTCCAAGGAGTAATGACTTGCAGGGCTGAATATCTACTTCAAAAACTATTTAGCATCCACACTGAGAGATGTTCAAGACCGCCACTCAGGAGAGAAAAGTAAAAACTCATGGTGCAGTGGTTAATAACAAAATTATTTGTTTATTCTTTTTGCTCCTTTAAAATCCCATAACGCTATATTTCCAGATTTTAGTTACATAGTTAGTCTGGCTGATGGCTGAACAAAGACAAAAGTCCATCTAGTTCAACAAGAAAAAGAAAAAAAAAAGTTATAGCCCTATACCCACAGTTAATGCACAGTTAATGCAAAAAAATAAAATAAAACCCCAGCAAAGCATGATCCAGTTTGCTCCTGCAGGGGAAAAAAATTTGTTCCTGATCCCCCAAGAGGCAATTGGATATTCCCTGGATCAGCTTTACCTATAAATGTTAGTATCCAGTTATATTATTTGTATCTAGGAAGCAATTCAGGTCTTTTTTTAAAGCAATCCACTGAGCTGGCTAGAACCAACTCTTTCCACACAGCCTATTCCACATTTTCACATCTCTTACAGTGATGAAAGAAACCTTTCCGTATTTGGAGATTAAATCTCTATTCCTCCAGTTGTAAAGAGTGCCCCCTTGTCCTTTTGTGATGACCTCAGGGTTAATATCTCTACACCGAGTTCACTGTATGAACCACTGATGTATTTATACATATTAATCATATCCCCCTTAATCTCCTCTTCTCAAGAGAGAATAAATTCAGTTCCTCTAATCTTTCCTCATAGCTGAGCTCCTCCATATCTCTTATCAGTTTGGTTGCCCTTCTCTGCACTTTCTCCAGTTCCCCAGTGTTCTTTTTGTGAATTGGTGCTCAAAACTGAACTGCATATTCCAGATGAGGTATTACTAATGATTTGTACAGGGGTAAAATGATCTGTCTCTCTGGAGTCTATACCTCTTTTAATACAAGAGAGGATTTTGCTTGCTTTAGAAACCGCAGCTTGGCATTCCATGCCATTATTAAGCTTGTGATTTACCAGAACTCCCAAATCCTTCTCCACCATTGATTTCCCCAGTTGTACTCCCCCTAGTATGTATGATGCATGCATATTCCTAGCCCCCAAGTGCATAACCTTACATTTAGCAAAATTAAACTTCATTTGCCAAATAGTTGCCCAATCAAACAGTGCATTGAGGTCAGCTTGTAAGTTGGAGACATCCTGTAAGAACGTTATTCCACTGCAAAGCTTGGTGTCATCTACAAAGACTGAAACCGTATTTTTAGTCCCACTTACAACTTTCAAAATTGACAGGTACAAGAGTACAGCAGATACAAATGCTTAGATCCTGGCCTCCGCATACATGTAATGTCACAGGCTAAGCCCTGCCCTATGACACTATTGTGGGTCCCTTGGCTTCTTCTTAGAGGGATACTTGATTGTGGACGCTGTGAGAGGAAAAGTTCACTTCTTACCTGGTGTATCATAGCTGTGAGAGGTTGGATGGTTAATGACAGCATGGCCAGCGTTGCTTACATGCATACATCCAAGTGCACATTGATCTCTGTTTTGGGATCACTGGGTGCTGTAAGAGGCTGATTATTTGTGGTGGTGGAATCACTGAGAC